TACTGCGACGCCATCTTGCATGAGGTTATGCGACTTCGACTACCTGCCAGCCTTGCTCTTCCTCACAGCACTACTGTAGATACGACCGTTGGTAAGAATTAACTACATTATCAGGAGTCTATCAATATTGATAGATTGATAGATTGATAGATTGATAGATTGATAGACTCCTGACATTATCGTATATAGAAGAATTTGCTGGATTAGATTCCACGCGTTACTACTTCGTTGACGAAAATTTTTCACACACGTCTAGTAAAGGTTTACAAAATAATGCCACAATATATAAGTAATATCTGGGGACCTCGGTTAGAGGAAAAACAAAGGGTTCCTTAGTGCCTGGTTTTTAGCTCACTTGAATCTATCAATCTATCAATCTATCAATCTATCAATATTGATAGACTCCTGATAATGTAGTTAATTCTTACCAACGGTCGTATCTACAGTAGTGCTGTGAGGAAGAGCAAGGCTGGCAGGTAGTCGAAGTCGCATAACCTCATGCAAGATGGCGTCGCAGTATGGCAGATTTTGCTTGTCGTGAAAGTTAACCAGCCGTTCGTGACCTACAAGGATATTATCAGCGTTATAAAGATACAGTCAGGGTTACGGACAGGTACCTCTGTAAAGGGCATTGCAATATAATTGCTGACCAAATCCAATCAAACTCATATCTATGTAATAAAAGAGATATGTAGAGATCTATGTAATATCTATGTCTCTCTACGCTCACGATCAAAATGATCAAAAAAAAACTCATTGCTAATTACGTGACGGAAAAAATGTAAATTTATACCAAAAAAATCATTTTTCTTATTTCTCAAAAACAGCAGAGTTGGAATTGGGACCTAAACTTTTAGTCATAAGTTGTTCATAGTATGAACTAAGAAACGGTCCCTATAAATTTTTTAAATGGTTTACTTTTAGGAAAAAAGTTGAAAAGATGCACGAAAACCTGCAATTTCTTTGTAAGATACAACAATATCGTAAATAAAGAGCCATAACTTCTAAAATGAAAAATTTGAAAAACTTAGAAAAAAAATTTCAGGGACCGTTTTTTAGTTTTAAAATCATTTTAAAAAATAAATTTACAATTTTTGCCGTCACGTAATTAGCAATAATTTTGTTATGATTTTTTTCATCGTGAGCATAGAGAGACATCTCTTTTATTAAATAGATGTGTTTGATTGAATTTGGCGAGCAGTTATGTTGCAATGAGCTTTACAGAGGTACCTGTCCGTAACCCTAAATGTATTCTTAAGCAATTTTCTTCTAATATTCATTGTCAATAATAGACTGGAATAGACATATATACCAACAATATTGTCGATCTCGTCCTGTCCTATTTTCTGAATCTCTGGGTATGCCACCATGAACTTAATGCACCACAATAATGTCATTGATGTTGTATCAGTCCCAGCTATTCAAAGAAAAACATTTATAGTCGAGTTATCATCTAGCGAATTGATATATATGCTATCAGAATGATATTAATAGCACGTTTAACTCTAGGTATTGTTATTCTGTGACATTCGTATTCAGGAAAAAACAGACATCTCTCCAGATATATATAGCTTTTAATCTCTTTAACACCATGAACTTAATGCACCACAATAATGTCATTGATGTTGTATCAGTCCCAGCTATTCAAAGAAAAACATTTATAGTCGAGTTATCATCTAGCGAATTGATATATATGCTATCAGAATGATATTAATAGCACGTTTAACTCTAGGTATTGTTATTCTGTGACATTCGTATTCAGGAAAAAACAGACATCTCTCCAGATATATATAGCTTTTAATCTCTTTAGTTTGTTTTTGCAACTAAATAAATAATCTAAAGAATACATCGTTGTTTTCTACATAATATAAATAACTAAATATGTCAGTTCAGAAGCTTGGTATTTATTAATACGTGCATGTGTTTCTCTGCAATAAAGTAAGTTCTGCAATGTTTGTAAAGTATGTTCATACGTGTTACTCATACGTACCTCCGAAAATGTCGAGTAATGTTTCCACGATATGGGTTTCCGTTATTTTATCACTGTCTTCCGTAGGCATATTCTGGTGTGCAAGAATAAGGTAATCACAAAGATCTCGAATGTCACCTAGCAAAACCAGACAATTCTTAATTTCAACATCTAGACATCTAAACGGTGGTCCAATGATGATACTGCCCATATAATGTACGTATATCCAATGATGTACGTCATCTTTATAATACGTTCCTTCAATTATCGTAAGAGTCAGATTACTTACTCCTCGTGAATGTGTCTTTGTGTCGCTGATACTCTTTCCGGCCCCTTCTAGTGTATTCAGCATTAAGGTCCAGAAGACGTTTTTGTGCAGCAGTCCGCGGGAGGTATCTAAGAGCGCTAATAAAGTCTGGTGCAAAACCACTGCTTATGAGTGCATTTGCTTCATTGGCTATTGCCACCATCCTAAGAAACTCGGGATCATCCAGGTGGAAACTGTGAAGAACACTGAAAATTACTTTAAGGGCAACGGTTGATCAATGTAACCTAAACCTGGCAATATATCGTTTTTCTCTGACAAAACAAACATAAAACCTTTAAATAAATCACGTGCCGACTCCTTTCTCCTTGGCTATATTCGCTTTTTTAATATGTACGTCACTCTTCATAGTTACCACTAGATTCCTGTACATTACGCCTACCTTCTCCCATACGTCATTGCATAGATGATGTTATATACGCAGTTGTACACATAGCTTTTTGGGTTAAATGGTTCATGAATTTTATCAAACATCTGTGAAATATCATTGAAGCTTTCGTGAATTTTCTGTACCAACACGTCCTTAGAGGCAAAGTGTCTGGAACAATAATTAGTACAAAATCAAATTAGAACGGGGATCCGGATAATTGGTCACATGAAATTTGGTCACCGGAAATTGGTAAGAGAAAAATTGGTCACCTCATGGTTTGCTGCCACAAGGGGGAAAGAGGAAGGCGTGTGGGAGGAGGAACATCTGAGGTGAAGGAGAAAGGGATGAGAGAGAGGGGGCATGGGTAAGGCATGGGGGCGGTGAAGAGCAGGAGAAAACGATGATGAAGGAAAGAAGTCGGATTAGGTCAAATGAGGAGAGGAGAAGTTGGAAGGGAATGAGATGGAGGAGGAGAGCTGGAGAGATGGAGGAGGATATTGGAGACGGTAGAGGAATTGGGGAAGAGATAGAGGAGGAGGATGAGGAGGAGGCAGAGGAAGAAGAAGAAGGAAAAAAGAGAAGGATGAGGAGTAGAGAATGTGGATAAGGCGCAGGACGATGGTGGTGGTAAAGGAAGGGTAGGAAGGGGGAGGTTGGAAAAGGAAGGAGGTAGGAGAGGAGGGAGGAGGAGGAAGGAGTGGGAGAAAGTGGCGGTGAAGTTGGATTAAGGTACATGAAGAGAGGGAAGATGATATTGAAACAGCTGGAAGAGAGGGGAGGCGGTACATCGGGACAAGGGGAAAGGGTCGATGAGGAACTAATTACATCTCCGCAATTCTAAAAATTCGATGAATATTAGGGAAAAAAAATTAAATATCTGCGGTTGACAGGACGCTCAGGCAGCAGCAGCGCCCAATATGAACACACGACCACACCCTACCGTCGCGAAATTAATTACTTGTTTAACAAACAGTTAGAGTACATCAGATATGATCAATTATACCTGTTATTTTTATTTTGTTATTACCATTTTTATTTTTAATAACCTGTTTAGTAAACATTGTAAAACATCAGATATGTTTAATCCCAAAATGTGCTTGTATAGTTTCAGGAGTAGATAATAGGGAAGGAGTGTGACTTCAATAAACAAGGGAAATTCGTCATTTACTAGCCTTATAATACCTACGATTTACTACGCGTAACTCATCCAACTTGAGCTCAAATCGGACACAGTACATTCGACCATCATCGTACCAGATCGTTTCCTCGTAGACACCCGCAATCCGGAGATACAGACTAAAACATACGACACGATTCTCCAATCTTTGTCCATTAATCAACCGTAGCAATCGCCTATACTTCAAACAAAAGGCAGCTACTAACCACACTGCGCGGGGCTTGCGCTCACGGCGAGGCGCTGTGGCTAGCAGGGTGATTAGGCATCAACGCAACACTCGGCGAGATAACCTTTGACCCGGTAGACAGCTACAATGTAAGCCTGTATGTCATACCGGCATGCCGGCACGCACGCACGCCAATCCGCTATCAGCAGCAGCTCCCTGCGAGCCACAGCGCCTCGCCGTGAGCGCAAGCCCCGTGGACAGTGTGGTTAGTAGCTGCCTTTTGTTTGAAGTATAGGCGATTGCTACGGTTGATTAATGGACAAAGATTGGAGAATCGTGTCGTATGTTTTAGTCTGTATCTCCGGATTGCGGGTGTCTACAAGGAAACGATCTGGTACGATGATGGTCGAATGTACTGTGTCCGATTTGAGCTCAAGTTGGATGAGTTACGCGTAGTAAATCGTAGGTATTATAAGGCTAGTAAATGACGAATTTCCCTTGTTTATTGAAGTCACACTCCTTCCCTATTATCTACTCCTGATAGTTTCACGCTCACCTAAAAGCACTGTGGGCAAGCTTGCGCTGAAGTTGCCAAACTGGGGTAAATGGTGCCATGGCGATGTCTTTAAACCCCTCCGTGATTACTTCAGCTATTAATTATAACAGCGAAAAGGTCAAAACATACCGCCAAAAAAGTACACAATAAAAGCAAATCAACACATCTAGCGCAATTACCCACTATTGTCTTAAAAATGTATTAACTCAATATATAAATGCATGACAATTGATTTGTGAATTTTACATTATGATTTCGTGGTCATTTGCTTACATGTCCAGTTTTTTGGACGTCCAGCAAAGTCATTCTGTTTCGTCACTAGCGCTTCAATAGCTTGATCCATACGATTAATGATGACACAAGGTACAGTGCCGAGGTCCAGTCGAATCACAGGTCCATACGTATATACTAGGTCATGGCAGTACTTGTACAACGGCGAATAATAATACGTTTCTAGAATGTACAACACCGCATAAGAGCAATTAAAAACGACATTTACTTTTAGTTCAGTTTACTTTTAGTTCAGTACTTTTAGTACTGTGCTTATAATATAATTAATATAATTTGCTTATGATATAACTGGTGCACATGTAATTCTATGGTCAGTATCGAAGAACTATAACATCAAATGTCTGTCAATTTTACACTAGTCAGGATTCACCTGAGCACGCTTAATTCTACTCACGATGAAGGTTTCCTATGATGGGAAGACGCATTGGTCCAGGTGGTAGCCGGTACGGTTTTCTCATCATGAAATACAGTATGACCGTGGCAGTGAAGAGCGTCAGCAACACTCTCCAGTCTCCCAGAAAAAGGAGAAGCCAGCGGACCAGTTTTCCTTCTAAAGCCATTATAGTGTGTTCTACGAAAAAAAAACGGAAATAGAAAATAATGGGCTATTGTAAGCACCAAGTTGGCATGTGTGGTTGCCTATACTGCTGACAAACGTATAGTAGGGCCTAGTCATTGTGGTGAGAATGACTAGTGCCGTCCTTTAAAAACCACCGGCAGATCTAAGCGTTTATAGATCGCCCTATATTGCGTCCACACATAAATAAATTCAGAATAAATTGCAGTGAAATTTCTGTGACAACTGTAGGTTGATACGTTCTATCGGTGGTTTTAAGTGGTAACCCTTTGCATGCTACATTCGCTACACACGCGCGCCCGCACGCACGCACGCACGCACACACACACACCATGCACCACTCACCACGCTCGCGCACGCACACGCACGCATATATATATATATATATATAGTGAACCTCCTCGATAAGTAAAATGATGTCAAATTGGGATATTGCACGCAGATGTCCAGCTAGGTGGTGCGTCGCACGAGTACACCGCCCGCATGCCGCTATGCACCTCTATAATTTTGTTGCGTGCATGCTGCGTATTTGTGTGTCGCAGAGAAGCATTTGAACGACATTTACAGGAAATTATCGGCAATAATAGGCGAAAGAGAGTAGAGAAACATTAAAAATTTGGTAGTAAATACGTTTTAAATTTCGTGTTTATTTACCATAATTATAATTATTATTGAGACATTCGAAGTGCCCATGGTGCGCCGTACACATACTATACGTTACGCATACTTATAAATGCAAAGCTTGTATTAAACCCATCTTCCCCTTTCGCACGCGGTTGTAGGAAAATTAATCACAGGAAATCTGGTCACATGGAAAATTAGTCACAAGAAAATTAGTCACAAATAGTAAACCTCGGTAAACTAATACTGTACGTCATCCTCCTTCCTTCTTCTCGTTCACGCCTCTCCCCATTCCTCCTTACTATGCACCCCCTTTTTCCGTCTCATCCACCATCATTTACATCCCTCATTCGTTCCCTTCTTCCACTCATTCCCCTCCTCCCGCCTCCTCCTGCTTCATCTACCAGTTCCTTCCTGCACCCTCCTATTTTACTGTTCTTCACAGGCTCCCCCTCCTCCACCTTCTTCCCGAACTTCTTTCACTTCTTCCTCCACTACATCCTTCCTTATGCTGGCTCCTATGCATCCTACTTTCTTCTCCACCTCCCACCATTTCTTTCTTTACTTTCTCACTTTCTCCTATCTGCTTCTCCAATTTCTCCCTCCTCATCCCCTGCTACTTTCGCCCGTCCTTAACTTTCTCACCCTTCTCTATTATTCTTTCTCTATCTCTCGCATCCTCCCTTCCTCCTCATTCTATATTTCCTCCTCCTCCACCATCTTCTTCTTCTTCTTCTGCTCACCCTGTGCCCCCCACCCCGGCTCCATCCTCTTTCATTATTGTGGTAGCAAACCCAGGTTTACTATTATTTGTGATTAAATTTCCTGTGACCCGTTTTCCATCTGCCAATTCCCCTATGGCCACTTTTCCTGTGGCAAGTTTCTCTGATACACTCGCACGCTCACAGGCATAGTGTACTGCCGGTGAATAGATGCCGGTTGTGATTTCTGACGATACAGGTGTGTTATTTTTCAGTCTAAATAATGCACAAAGTGTATAAATGAGCAGTGCCAGTATTTGAGCAACATATAGGTAAAATTATTAGCGGCTTCTTAGGAATTGGTAGCTAGCTACTATATGTATAAAGGGTTCGGTTCCATACATTTGTCCGAGCCGTACCTATAGATCTAGATATATACTGTACCGCCCTGTGTAAGTACTAAGCAGCAGGCTGGCTAACGCCTATGTCCCCCAGCGTACTGCCGGAACGTACCCTGGGTACGGTCCGGTATACCGGAATGTACCCTGGTACTATCTAATATGCCGGACCGTACCTCGCCTACTCCACTAACGAGTCTAGGGAGTCGCCTACGCCTACTCCGCTAACCGCTAACGGGCCTAATCCTAACCGCTAACCATATAAATAGTTACGGCAGTACGTTCCGGCAGTACCGCTGGGGACATAGACCTATGAGCTCCATTAGGAGTGTTCCCAACTTTGATATCATTATGATTAATGATTGACAATCCTAACCCTAACCCTAACCTAAATGACATTAAACCACAAACTAATATATGACCACATCTATATATATATATATATATGTGTGTGTGTTATTATGACCATTAATGACATTAAAGTTGGGAACACTCCTAATGGAGTATCACCCAGCAGGGGCTTAGGGCGGTACAGTACTGCTATATGCACTGCTTCCTTTTCCAGGGCTGCCAACTCTCACGCATTGACCGTGAGACTCACGCATTTTGACTTAATCTCACGCTCTCACGCTGATCTTACAATATCTCACGCACAGCAAAAAATGGCGAGTTATCTCACGCAATATCTCTTCAAGAATAAAACGCTGAAATATCTCACGCACAGCAAAAACAATCTTACAATTCTGAAAACAGTCATTTAGTATGCACCAATTGCACAAATTGAAATTATGAAATGCAAAAGCTTCCTACCGTGGGAGGTGAGAAACACCCTAATTCACACCCACCCACCGCTCGGTCGCTTCGCTCCCTCGCATCTCACTCTCACCTATCACCTAATGTTGGCAGCCCTGCTTTTCTATGCTACTAAGAATCTGCATGAAACACACGTATGACATATATAAACGCCATTCACTACTCCTATAACTCGCGCTCTCCCTTTATATATATATATATATATATATATATAAATATATAGTTCTATATTGCTCACCGCGAACACCGTTTGCATATGGAAAACTTCGTACTGACTGCCGATGAATTTTTTACACGACAAATTGAGCACTACTGTGCGTATCCCAGTTACCTACTGCACTTGGGTCTATATATAGACAGGACTTTGGATTAGTGAATTGACCGCCCAGCAATGGGGTGGCGCCACTGTGCAAGGACTGTACTGGAACCATATGGCCATGTGTACAGGTGGCCACAACATACACATATAACAGCAAACGGTACTCTAAGCCACACGCACTTGGGACAGAGTCAGTAAAATCTGAAAATTATAGTCTGTATATCAACTTGCCACTGATCTGTGATCTGTGATCTGTTTTGTTTGATCTGATCTAATCTTGTTCTGTGTCGCCATTATAATGATATATATCAGTAGATAATAGGGAACCCCCGGAATAGATAATAGAGTTCCCTATTATCTAATCCTGATATATATAGAAGTATATATATATACTTTATATATACTATATATAGATAGATACATAGATAAAGAGAGAGAGAGAGAGAGAGAGAGAGAGAGAAAGAAAGAGAGAGAAAGAGAAAGAGAGACAGAGATATGGGGAAGAGCGAGAGACATATAGAGCGAAGGGGCAGCGAGGGCGAAAAGAGAGAGCTAGAATGCGGGATAGTGCGGCGAGAGGTGAGCAAGGGTGAGAGGGGGGAAGAAGTGAGCAAGGGAGAGTGGAAAAAACACAGGAGGAAGAGTGGGGTGCCTTGACACGCACATATATACGTAGAAAATTACACAAGCATGGATGAATTTTGCAAGGATATTAAACTTCGGCAGTTTATAGTAATCAGTAGGTTTTTGTACCCAGCACTAGAGGGGAGGGGGCAGCTGTGTATGCTGACCAAACCATTCATGGTGTGGCGAAGTCGATCCTGTCCGTGTGTTGCCTGTCATCTCCTTGTACTATCGTCAACGTTACAGTTATAAAGTAATTGTGATCATGCAGGAATTAATCTTATAGGTGGCGCGATCAAGAGAGCGTGTGCACGCACGAGATTGTGATGTCAGGCGAGCGTGCTCGCTCTCTTGACGGCCAGCAGTCAAAGAGGGCGGACTTGTTATCAGCACAATCTCTACTGTGATGTGTTAATTATAGGCCGGATGGCTAGGACGTTTATATTTGTTGTGTAAGCGAGGAGAGCATCGTCGCGCGCGCAGTGAGAGCAGAGTGAATCTCTAACGCGGTGAGATGCAGAGATAGAGTAAGAGTGGGGACGTGTTGTGCGCCAGCACCCAGCATAGTACTGGTAGGTGAGAGTGGATCGCTGCTGTGACTGGCGACCACTCTGACGTATAATACGTAGTGCGTCAATAAAAGCATTGTTCTGCACGTCTCTTGTTGCTGTTCGTTTCGTCCTCGAGTCTTGGTAGAATCTGGGTGGGAGACAAGGCCATACACAGGAAATTTTCAGTGGGGGGGGGGCAGTAGCAAGGGCGTGTAGAGGTGTAACTTGCGAGCACGCGAAGGGGGGTCTGAATTTTTTTGAAATTAGACCCCCTCAGATGCGTTTTCTGCACGAGCAGGGGTCCTCAGCTGCTGAGAAAATCGCGTTGGCCACTGACGTGGCCTATGGAGTGCAAAGGGTTAAATTATAAAAACTGTGTCTTGAAATTAAATTTCTGGGGAGCAACTGCCCCCCCCCCCGCTATGTACGGCCATGGTGGGAGACGTAACGTCCCGAGGAGAACTTCGGCCACACATGAACCTACTATACGATCACAGATAGAGGGTAAGCAGGTGGCAAAAGAAGGCAAAGCGTTACAATGGTTTTCCCAGCCGAGTGTTCCATCCAAGCAAATACTATTACGCGACCGAGCAGCTGTTATTGCATGCTCTTCACACTCGAACATACCTGTGAACTCGTGGCACCATCGTAGAGGAAAAAATAGAAATACTCCAACACCATGTTCCTTTAATTAGATATATGCAATTTCCACGGATAGATCATGATGCAGATAAATTTATAGCCTAATCTTTATAACAATCCTAAACGGCTTCGGATCCATTGCAAGTGGAGATGGCTTTGGTTCGAAGTCAACAGATTCCCCTGGCTCACTCCAGCTATATCGCTGTAGCAAGCACGTGAAAAATACGAAAAGATCTATCTTCGCAATAGACTCTCCGAGGCAAACACGTCTCCCGGCAGAGAACGGGAGGAAGCTAGGCATCTTGGGCCTGATGGAACCATGCTCGTCAAGAAACCGTGTTGGATCAAACTTCTCAGGATCAGTCCAGTATGCTGGATCGTGATGGAGTCCGTAGAGGTTGAACATCACCATCGTGTCTTTTGGGACGTCATAACCACCTAAATAAAAACATGTAAAAACAGGTTTCTCAGATGATGCTTGTATGTCAAATCTTACTTCTTGTTCATGGCTCTTTAATAATTGATGCCTCAGGTTCATTCTTCCCTCTGATATACATAATTGTATACACGTTGCAGGTACTGCTGTGTGACTGTTTGGAATTAAAATATAATTAACCTGCACTACCTGTTACTACTATACAATATCCTTTGAGCCATGAATTTCATGATTGTATCCATACATGAGACAATGCAGTCGTATTGGAGCAACGCATCATAATTGTCGCATCAATAAATCGTTACAACTCTAGTACATACCAACAGTCGTGTCCACAGTAGTTTTGTGGGGTACACCAAAGACGGCAGGCAGTCGTAGTCGCATGACCTCATGCAGGATGGCGTCACAGTATGGCAGATTTTGCTTATCGTGGAAGTTAACTAGACGATCTTGACCTAGAAAGAAGAAGTGAACTAAAACTATACTAACTACTATATAAGTCTATGCAAGTTTATATCCCTTTTTAGATAAAAAAAATTGCTAGAAATCATCATCAATACTTACCAACAAAATTGTCAATCTCGTCCTGTCCTTTTTTCTGAATCTCTGGGTATGCCACCATGAACTTAATGCACCACAATAATGTCATTGCTGTTGTATCTGTCCCAGCTAATCCATGAAAGAAAATATTTATAGTTAATTTACATTACAACTGACTATATAGAAATTTGATAAATTTCATTTAATTTAATGGAAATTCCTGGAGAGTATTTATGTCATGTGGCAGTTTTATGTGATGTCAGAGTAACATCAATAGTGAATTTAACTCTAGGTTTTTCCAGGCTACATAATCTCATCAGATATATTATCGAATCACTTTTGTTTGCTTTTGTAATTGAACCAAACAATTTCGTTGTTGCTTTCGACTAAATACTTTAAACATTACGATTTCAAAAACGCGTTGATTATTAATCAATGCATTTTTCTATGCAAGTAAACAAAGTCTATGTAAGTTTTGTATGGTTTGTAAAGTATGCCTATATGAGGTTCATACGTACCCCCAAATATGTCCAATAATGTCTGCACAATATGGGTTTCAGTAAGCATATCACGTTCTTCTTCCGGCATATCTTGATGTGCAAGAATCAGGTCATCACACAGATCTCGAATGTCATCTAAGGAAATTAAGCGATAATTATTATTAAGACCTAAAGCTACAAACAACGATCTTACAATACTGCAAATAGGTGCATCTATTATAGGGACGATACAGGTAGCTCACAATATGATCCGTATCACGATACAGCCTTCAAGATATGATACGTATCCCGATACAATGTTCAGGATACGATATAGTATCGCGATAATTTTAAAGAGAAATTACCTAGCAAACTATACACTCAACTGGGACTCAATCATGTGAACGCTTACAAATCAGTATCGTGGAGTGCTTTGCAAACTACTGCTATGCAATCCGAATTGTGTTGTTTCTTGATTTTGGATGAAACTACGCTACAAAATAATATAGATTTTAGTCAGTAGTAAGGTGTCAAGTGACAAGCGACGCTCTAAAAATAGGAAAATAGGAATTTCATATGTGAAAAAATAGGAGGGAAAATAGGAATTTTGATGAGAAAATATATGTGAAATAAGAATATTTGTTGCGTTAGATGGCCTCCCAACACCCCTACAGCCATCCTGATCCACCACAAATGGTTTTATTAATATACATATTTGGAGTTACATCACATGCGAACAATATTTTGAGGTTTTAATGAGAAATGCATGTTAAAATTGATAAGCAGTTTATACATGCATAATCAGCCATACATGTAGACTACTCCAAAATAGTATGACGTACATGTATACATGGGCGGATCCGGCTTTTTGAAAAAGGGAGGTCCAGTAAGAAATAAAGGGCACTTTTATAAAAAGGTGCCGAAGGCAGCTTATGTGCCGTGTCTAAGGCACATTGCCACTTGGGGGGGGGGGTTAGGGGGACCTCCCCCAAGAAATATTTTAAAAATTGGTGCATTCTGAGAGCATCTGAGCAGTAATTTTGATGTCTAGAATGCAAGATGGAATTCCAAATGTTTAAGCAGAAAATTATCTTTTATGTGTTTTCCCTTTTTTGGGGTAAAAAAGTGGGGGTCTGGACCCCCTGGACCCCCCCTCTAGATACACATACCACATCCAACTGAGAAACAACTTTACTGAAATACAATCTGTGATAGTAAAGAGTATATTACGTTAATCTAAAGTAAGGGATGGGGGTCTGGGGGTGCTCCCCCAGTAAATTTTTGAAAATTGGGTCACCTGAAATGTAAATTCCTGCATTCTGAGAATGATACATACAATTCTGGATTCAGGAAAATGAAAAGCCCTCAAAAATAGGAAAAAATAGGAGAAAATAGGAATTGCCCAGAAAATAGGAAAAAATTGGAAAAATAGGAACTTGACGCCCTGCAGTAGAGTACTGATATGTGTATCACGATTGGTCAAAGGTATCGATACGTGTATCGTAAAGGTTTGTATTGTGATACATCGATATATTGACGAATCATTTCACCCCTAGCAGCTATATATCTCAAATACAAAATTGCAACTAGTTACATCTAAAACGTGTTTCTGTGCTTAATAGACCAATCGATATGAAAGAGATAACCGCACCGCCCTTGGATATTGTGGCTATGTTGCTCATGCTAGACCAGTTTATACACAGTTTATGTTTTTCACAAGTGCATGCCAAAGAGCTGGTGACAAGAATTGCCTTTTAGAACATATCACAGAAATTATTAAGTAAAACTGCTTGCCAATCATGCCAGGTAGGTAAAATTCAAAAGAAGTAAAATATTCAGATTGCTTACTCCTCGTGAATGTATCTTTGTGACGCTGATACTCTTCGTGGCCCAACTTTAACGTGATATCACACAATTCCAAAATGCGTTTTTGCGCAGCAGTCCGCGGGAGGTATCTAAGAGCATTGATGAAGTCTGGTGCAAAACCACCGCCAAAAAGTTCATTTGCTTCATTGATAACGGATATCAACCTCAGAAACTCCGGATCATCAATAGAGAACCTGTGAACAAACTGTACCGATTAGTTGAAAAGCAACAGCTGATTACTGTGATCAAAACTCGTTAATATGCTTTGTTTTTCTTGGGAAGAACCCAATCATAATTAATGAATTTTTAGGATATTTCACTCTAACTGCTCATTTGCTTAAAAATTCTTGGTTACACTCAGCTTTACTTTTTAAATATCTTTTTAATACTATTTAAATAGATATTGCACTTATAATGGTTACCACTAAATTCCTCTACATTACTCCTACCTTTTCCCATACGTCATTGCATAGATAACGTTATACATGCAGTTGTACACGTAGCTTCTTGGGTCAAACGGTTCATTAATTTTTTCAAGAACCTGGGAAACATCACTGAAGCTTTCGTGGATTTTTTGTACTAACACGTCCTTAGAGGCAGCAAAGTGTCTGGAAAATTAATAGAAAAATAAATGAAATGATGTCTGGCTAAACTATATGTATTTGACATTTCCAGCTTAAAATCAACATCTCATTCAGTAATAGGTGGGGCCAGAGGTGTGGAGGGCATGGAGGGCTGCAGCGCATTACCAAGATTTAAAAGTTTGTTCTATTTCAGACTCCTATGTGAGCACATGTGCTGGTGTCTTTACCATAGGTGGGGACAAACACAAACAACTTGTTTTAACAAAGTCTGATATGGCAAATGCGTATACATGCAGAAACTCGCAGCTATATATAGATGACACTCACCTGAATGCACTGTGAGCAAGCTTGCGCTGAAGTTGCCAAACTGGGGAAAATGGCGCCATCGCAATATCTTTATACCCCTCCGTAAAGATTTCACCTATCAACAACAAAGATATCTAACCATGCAAACACTGGTACATAATATAGGTAAAATACAGTTATCATCTGAGCACAAACTATAAAATATTCTATACAAAAATGCAAGTTTAGCATATTTCATATAGATCATTAAATTTTTACAAACTCCTTGTTTACCTGTCCAGCTTTTTGGTCGTCCAGCAAAGTCATTCTGTTTCGTCACTAGTGCTTCAATAGCTTCATCCATACGATTAATGATCACAGTGGGAATGATGCCCATGTCTAGTCGAATCACAGGTCCATAAGTGAATGCCAAGTCATGGCAGTACTTATACAATGGGGCATAATAATATGTTTCTGAAATGTGCAACATTTTTCACGAGTACTAAATTACATGCAGTTATAAAGTAAGATTGGTAAATTGGTTAAAACATTACGAACTAGAGCACTCGGAGAGCACAGACCTCCGCCAAGGCAGCTGAATTCTCTCACCGTAAATTTTTTTATTTATTAATTAATTAATTAA